TGTAATTAATAATTAATGAAACTTACCCTATAAATAATTAATATGTTGTAAGATCGAGTGGTACCCATTGGCATTTATAGATAAGTTTTTAATCTGTCAAATTTTAATGTTTCACATATTGAATAGGTACAATTAAACAATAATTTTTAGGTTTATAGTTATGCAGGAAAAAGGGATGAACATCTTCAATTGCGGATCTGATTTCACCAAATTTGTCAAAAAAAGAATGGTAAAATCTCGTTAAATATAATGATCATATACACATAGCTTGAGGATAAAAATATTTTGTCAATAACATACCTAATATATATCTGAGTCTCGTTATTGAAAAAACATCACTAACAAGCAATTAGCGAACTGTTTTATTAAAACGTGGATGAATTTGGGATGTATCAAATATCTCTGAGAAGAACTTTTACTAATAAAAATAATTAGTTCATTCAATAAATGAAACATTTCACAAAACAATAAATTTCTTACAAGACAATATGAATAATAATTAAACAGCTATCGATCAATTGCGCACTCATAGGACATTTGTTGTTGGCTAAGATTTTTCTATCGTTGAATAGGCAAATTTATAAGGAATGTATCGCTAAAATAATATACAGTATGTTGTGTTTGAAAACATTGAGTAAATTGAACTTAAAATTAGCCGTGTTTAAAACATGTTTGAAAACACTTTATAAAATAATCCAGTTCTATCACCAGTATTATTTAACTAAGTATCTTATAAATCTGAATTTTAAACAATTTTGAAATCATTGTAAACCTACCTAATTATGATAATTTTATTTGGGGCTGCATCATTCTTTCATTTGAAATAAAATACTAGGTGTTATATTTAAAAAATATACATCTTTATTTGCCAAACAAAAACGCAACACTCTGTATATCCAAAAATACGAATTTCTTAAATCTATATTTTTATTTAAAACTTGTTTGCGTGTCTATAATACAAATTGAATAATTAAGCAATTAGTACTAATTGGACACCCTGTATAATTGTCCAGGGGTCATAACTCTTGCTTCAAAAAATAATAATTTAAAGAAAAATTTCATAAATTATTTTAATTTTTTTTTCTTAGAGTATTGTGGAAATGTAATTTATATATTCCATTATTGATGTTTATTTGTATTACTTCCTAAAGTGTATTTTAAGCACTCTGCCATTTCCATTTCAAATACCGTTCCTTCCTTACCTAAATTAAAAGATAATATATACTGGTAATGAAGATAAGACCCTGGCAAATGGCATAAAATGCGTTTTTTCAAAATATAAAGTAAAACTAATATGCTTAAATCAGTTTAGTATCTGTATCTGTAACGTGTGGAAGATGGGTTACCACCACGGCACTTAGGCCTCATTAGGCCCATTGTGCATCCTCCTGAGATGATAGACACCTCCTGGCATGTGAACCAGCCTACAGATTTTATGTAGTTGACAACGTCGCCAAGAGGTGCTTCTCTTATATCGGCCGGTATTAGCCGATACTCGCCGAACACAAATTTTCTAATAAATGAGAGTGTCAGGCAATCGTAAAGTATATGCTCGATGGTCTCATCTTCTTGTTCGCACCCTCTGCACAGTGCGGATTCTGACAGCCCCATGATATGGAAATGCTCTCGTACTTGGCAATAGAATGCCTGTGACTAGGCGCAGATTCTGTCTAGTCATAGTCAAGTATTTGTTTGCTGCAGTGTTGTCAGGATAACTTAAGAGCTCCCTGGCAACTCTGCAGTTTCTTGTTTCATCCCATCTTTCCCTGAATTTCACAAGGGAATGTTCTTTGATTAGGTCTGTCACTACCGATTTTGTCAAGCCAATAGAAGGACCAGGTTCAAAAAGTATTTGGTTGGCTGCTTTCATGGCTAGTGAATCAGCAAGACGGTTACCTTTCGATGTGGCGTGACTTTTGATCCATCTTAAGGTGACCACATTGTTGATGGATACTTCGCCCAAAGCTTCGTGAAATTCTAGTACTAACCCTAAGTAAATTCGTGGTCTGTTCAGGGTGAGTAGTGCATGTCTGCTATCTGTATAGATGAGCATGTTCCTTCCAGTAATATTGTTTCTGGGTATTTCTTTTAGTGCTATGAGAATACCCGTTAGCTCTGTTTGAACTACACTGGCACTATTGCTCACAGCCCGTTTTATGTTTACGCTTAAGAATCTGGAGTATATTCCACATCCTGAGCCTTGTTTTGTTTTAGAACCGTCAGTGTAGATATGAATCGTACCTGCCACTTCCGGCTCTTCTATTTGTTTTATTATAACTTCTATTATAACTTTATATGGCTTATATCAGATTAGTAAAGAAACAAGACCGTCCTGTAGTTTTAACCTCAACTATTCCCATGTTTGAGCTGTGTAAACAATAGCTGTATCATCGGCGAAACTAATTACTTAGCCTGAACTATTTGTGGTGAGGAAACTGTTGATATATAAAGAGAGAAAAATAGGTCTCTAAAGACAGTGCCCTGTGGGACTCCATATTCCATTTTCTCTTCAATACTAACTTAATTGTTTGACCACCTGAACTCGATCTGTTAGACTAATTTGGCAGAGTGATAATTGCAGTCCCCCTACTCCTGATTCCTCCAAGACCGTCAGCAGTTAATAAAAAGTTAATAAAAAATTAATAAAAAGGTAATAAAAAGTTAAGTAAAAGTTAAAAAAAAAGTTAAAAAAAGGTAATGGATAGTTAATAAAAAGTTACTAGAGGTAATAAAAAGTCAAAGTAAATAAAAAGTGAATAAAAAGTGAATAAAAAGTGAATAAAAAGTGAATAAAAAGTGAATAAAAAGTGAATAAAAAGTGAATAAAAAGTGAATAAAAAGTGAATAAAAAGGAAATAAAAAATTTAAAAAAATTAAAAAAAAGTTAATAAAAAGTTAATAAAAAGAAAATAAAAAATTTAAAAAAGTTAATAAAAAGGTAATAAAAAGTTATAATGAGTTTAAAAAAATAGTTTTTTGAAAGGTAATAAAAAGTTAGTAAACAATTGATAAAAAGTTAATTGAAAATAATAAAGTTAATTAAGAATAATAAAGAAAGTTAATAAAAAGTTAACAAAGATACGAAAAATGTTACCAAAAGCTAGTTACTAAAAAAGTTAATAAAAAGGTTACTAAAAAGTCACAAAATATAATTTAAGCAATAAACTTGAATCTGAATTTTGTATTATTTGAAGCAAAACATTTAAAAACTTCGTTATGAATGCATTAAAGTCAACTTTTTATATAACCAACGAATTAAGATGAAATTACTAAATTGTGCTCAATAACTTTTTTATTTATTGTAGATTCTTTTTGAATTTCGCTATTTCGGCGACGTGCTTCAGTATTGCAGCGTGGCAATGAGAGCCGATGTTCAACCGAGCATCGAGGTAACTGTCAACTAAAATCAAAAGGTTATGTTTGTTTACATTTTGGGTTTAATAGAGTTTTTGTGGTTTTTAGATGAATATTTTTATTTTCCCATTATTTTGAAAAGAACTGTGATATGAATATTATATTTAAGTAGTAATCAGCTAATAAAATATCCGAAAAAATAGATACGTATAGTAGGTCTCTCAATTTGATAAAACCATTATGTACGTGAGTAGAAATTATTTTTAGAAAAGAAATAAAGTAGTTACTAATACTAAATAAAATGTATAATAATATTAATGTTCAATCAATTCTATTATGGGCAGAATGCCATCATGGACACACTACTACAAACTAAATGATGTAAAATAGTATATTGTCATACTATCACCCTGTATCTACATAACGCAGTGGATCTATTAAGACGAGACATTACCATTCAAAGCATCGGACGTCGCTTGTTGAATCCTAGGAATTTTCGAATGAATTTCCCTGACTGTTGTTCCGTTAATAATTTCACTAGTGATCTATTATAATAGTAATTATATTTGGAACGTGCAAGAGGCTTTGGAATTTAATTTTCAATTAATCCACATTGTTAAATTAGGTCAAAGTTGCTGTGAATGTGTGGTTACCGTTTGATCTAAGTTTCTATATTATATTGCGGGAGAACTAAATGAATGTTAATTTTTGTTATAGTTTCTTTTAGTATTCAAAACTTATCTTCCAAGTCTAGAAATAACCCTAAGAATTTTGTATAAAAAATCGAGGTATCCATCAGTTACCTTATATGCAAAAATTAAAATAATAAACACAGAAAGATAGATATTACTTACATAATCAACAATCTCCACTTCCGTTTAATCAATATAATAGTTGCTAAAAACAAAAACACTTTTTCTAATCACTTTATCAAAAAACTAAAAAATAAGAAACTTAACATTTATTTATTCGAAAATGTATTCAAATACCGTCTTGTTTAACTTAAATTAGTAAAATTTTCGTCGATAAGTATTGATGACATTCATGCCGTTATAAGAACCATTTAAAACACTGAGCTCTGCGGGGAAATCTTTAAGTTAAACTGCTTGAACACGTCGAATGTAAAAAAGTTATAATTGATTTTCCCGCAGGGTTGTCGACACTTTTATTAGACTTATTCCATCTAAGTGATCGTACTTAACAATAATTTAAATTCATTAGGTAAGATCACACTTCTAAAATCACACAACTGAATTAAAATAATTATTACAGAATGAATCATGATTCACAGCTTTGGAGAAAACCGAAACAAGAGAAAAAACACACATACTTAATTGGCTTAACCTTGCATAGACAAGTCCAAGGCCCGGATTTAGATTTTTATTTCTCTATCTTTCCTATTTTTGAGTTTTTTGAAATATGTTACATGTATACAGTTGGAAATGTATAAGTACAAAACATTTTTTTTTTAAGTAAAATCAACTAAAATAAAAATATATTTAATTATTGTATAACAAATGTTTCAAATAACAGAAAACTAAAATTCTATATTTTTGTTTAAGTTAATAAAATAAATTATTTTATATTTAGATACATATTAAAATAAAGTTATTATATTAATATAATTTTAATTTAATTAAATTTTAATTTTCATTAATGAAAATTAAAATTTTCTAAGATTTAGGTTTTTCTTCTGGATGTTCTTGATAAAATGCCTCCCAATCATTTTTATTTTCACATTCCCATCTCCTGTCTTCTTTTCCATCAATAAATCTCCCACACCAGGTGCCTAAAAGAATAAATGCCAAAACTAAATTTAAATTTTCCATAATTAATTTATTGTAGCAAAGATTACTATTCAGGCATTTATTTTGTCTACATTTTGTTCTTCGAAAAAATATCTAGCTAGTTGTAAACTACGAGTGTCCAACAGATTCATAAGGAATAGTTAACATTTTACCTGCAGAATCTTGCTATAAATTTAAATTTTTGTTATATAACTGAGGATCAATTGTTTGAGATACAGGGTATTGAGTTATAAAAATAATTCAGTAATGTTATATTTGTGTTATTTTTTTCACACGTAAAAAATATTAAGGCCTTTTTATCGTGTAGAAGGCTCTACGTAAGCTATCTTGGTTTAACAAAATCCGTCATAATATTTGACCCCCAGTTATTAAGAAAAAAAAAAAGAATATTTTCCGCTATAGAATTTGTAGGTAAAATTCAAAAGACGCTAAAATGGTGGTTCCCACCTTATCAAGACTGAGGCCCACAAGGGTAAACTCGTAGCGTAACAAAAACGAGAAATGATTTAACTTGGAACGAAAGACCAAAAGCCGATAGTAGTATTAGGACGTTGAATATTTTGTTTCGTGAAGCATTGGCATTACTTAGGTTCAACCATGTGATGATTTTTACAAGCCTTGATTTTTAAAACTATTCTATATCGCCTTTTGATTAGGGTTTAAAAACTTGTTCGAGCAGTTTATCAAATAATAATTGGCCCCTTTACCTCTTAAGCCTGCTCATGTAAAATATTTGGGCTTCTTATTTCGCCTATTTATATTCTATTAATAAAGGACAGAAGGATGAGTATTGCAACTATGTTAAAAGAAGTAAATTGGCTTTCAGTTCAGAATTATGTTCAGCACATGACTGATATTTATTTATAAAATAAAAATGACAGTACCATCGCATCAAATCTATTAGAAAAAATTCAATATAATTCGCAATATCACAACTATATATAATACAAGAAGACAATCGGACTTTCATGAACGGCAAGTCATCACTAAAAGTTCCCAAAATATAATTTTTATTGAAGGTTTAATAAATTTAATAGACTGCCTACAGAAATTAAAAAAAAAAAAACAACAATAAATGTATTCAAAATTAACCTCAAACATTACTTGATAAATAAACAGAACGGATATACTTTCTTGTGATAATACTCTTTAAACTTGCCCTTTTTAAGTATTTCCCTTAAATCATTGTTATTTTACCCCTCGTTTTATTACTTACTATGTTTAAAGTATTAATAGTTTTGAGACGATGAGTTATAGCAACTTATAGCCACAAAACTATTTTTATATTAAAGTAGATCCATAGAGAGCAATGTAATTTACAAAGGCCTTCTTTCAACATACAAATAAATGACTTTATTATTAAAATGAAAAACACAACAAATTACCTCGATATCATAATTTGAAATGGGTTGATCACATTACGTCATTAAAATCACAAGGTAAGAAAATTTATTTTTAAATTTTATGAATTGAGGAAATTTATGACTAGGAACTTACTAATTATTATTTACAATTCGCTGGTTAAATATGTAAACCAGCATTATATCCTACCTCTCTTTTATATAATAAAAAAATGCTTTGTATAAGAACATTATATTATCTGTCTTGCTGTACCTTTATTTATGGAAAGCCTTAATTGAGATACACTACAAATTATTTGCAATAAATATCAAAGGGAGCATACATTTTTAAATAATTTGACATTTAAGAGCCATTCACACATCACAGTTGACATCTTGATACTTGACAGGCACAGCCAAGCATTAATCTGATTTTTGCCAAATAAAATGGCCGGTTAATTATTCTATGGGGTTGCGACAGAGAGCCAGTAAATTTGATGAAGGTGTTTTTGTGGCAAGGGGCGAAATAGTAGTACGCTTAAGTTAGCACCACCATAAAAAAGTAATTTTTAAGGAACTGCTTATATATTTTTCATAAATTGGCAGACTTGGCGACTAATTTCGAATAAAAATAGCCTTCAAAATGGCTATAGTTGCAAATATGAAGGTCGCAACCCGCCTTAGAAATTTCACCTGCTGTTGTTTGACAGGTCGTTAGAGAATGTTTGCAATTTATGGAATGTAAAGAATGTTAGGAATGTTGACGTTAGAAATAATTAGAATTCCTAAAATTGTCACATAAGAAATGCATAAGCGGATTTTAAGATAACTGATATTAAAGTAGTTTGGATTAGCCGAAAATTCTGAAAATCAATAGGGTTCTAAGTTAGAAGTATTTATTCAATAAAATCAAAACCGCAAGTCAATCAGAACTTTCGTTCTAGAGTTATTGTGCCGGCATACATACACACAGACGACCAGACGAAATTTTTTTTTTGCATTTTCGGAAACAAAAAAGTTTTAAAAATGGAGGTAAGACAATTTTTTCGTCTGCACGATTGCAATACTGAGGCCCCATAGGAAGGGCCTCAGTAATATTATCCATTTATTACGAATCGCCCTCTATATAGTTCTATTATAATGGTGCGATAAAGGATATAAGCTTCAGTAAATCGGAGGAATTTATTTATTCGTTAAAGTAAAATGTTTTGCCTATAACATTGTACAAATTTATCGGATACATTTTTTTTTTTTAGATTTTGATCGATTGCACCATTCTATTTTTAAAATGTATTTTGCGAGCTAATGTTAAAATCATTAGGATTTGAACAGTTTAATATTTTAGATGTTGAGAACGAAATATACTAGTGATGGGAATTTTCATGAAAAGTAATTTTTAGATTAGTCAGACGAATATGTCCCTATCAAGCAATCAATTCTAACCTTTTTTTTCGAAAACTGTTAATTCGTCGTTAAAATTCAGCCACAACGCAAGTTTCCATAGATAGATCTAATCTTCACTTTTTTTTAGAGATTTAGAAATTGGTAGTGATGTAGCAGCAAAATTTTGAAAGTGGCTATGAAACAAAAGAGTTTGGAACCTCTGCTTTAGCAGAACTATATTTTTTTTATTGATGGTTCACACTTTCCTACGTACTGTTTATTTCTGTAAATGTATATATAGTTATTCATGACTCACCCTGTATATATTTAAGGATAAATAAAAATTTAATTACCCTTTTTTAAGTTCTTACCTGAAGAATCTTGGACCACGCTTGTTGCTTCGCTTCCACACGTACAATCTGGTTTGAAAATTATGTTACATGGTAGGATAGACCTAACAGATTTTACAACGTTTCCTCGGCAATAAACATTACCACTCGTGTCATTTTGTGGAGAATAACCTTCTTTACATTTGCAGTCAGAAAATTCGTCAGCAAATGAAACTATTATGGGCAACAGCAGCAGAAGGTAAAATTTCGTCCTAGAAATATAATTCTTTAATTATTTGGATATTTCAGTAATTTAGCAATATTATATTCACAGCGTCTAGGTACACGCTAACTTGTACGCAATTCAAAAAGTTATATACACGCGAAACGTCTTGACAGAGTAGGTGAGCTGTGTCCATGCCGGTCGGCGTAGCCAGATATGAATTGAAATTTTCTGGTGGCGGCGAAGCCGCCACCCTACGAGAGTTCGTTGCTTCATTTTCTTGTTGTCACGGCATTATTATTATTTGTTCATGTATGTGAAATTTGCTTCTAAGGTTTGTAAAATACTACTGCTAGCTGCTAGTCATGGCGTAAATGAAAACAAACAACACGCATTCACACAAACACCTCCCACCACAGCAATATGACGTTTTGCGTGTATATAATTTTTTGATTTGTGTACACTTTAGCGTATACCTAGCAGCCCTCGTATTGTATTAGGTAGCCAAATAATTATTTTAATTTTATTTTTATATAAATATACAACCAGCAGGCGGATCCAATTAAAGATGTACACAAGAAATTATTAATGTACCATTAGGAATGTTAAAAAAACCAATTTACAATGAAAAAAAATTAAAAAAAGTAAGTGCACTAAAAGACAAATTTAATAATAAATAATTTGGTTTCATATCCACTATTTAGATAATAAATTGATGATTTGTTGCTTGAATTAAAGACCTTGGGACCAGAAAGAAAAAAGCCACAATTTATTTAAAAATAAGTAAGGATAACCAAAAACTTTAAGACCATTATACAGGGTGTTTCATTGGTAAATGGACAAATGGTGACCGTGGATTTATACAATATCTTGGATAAGGAACACTAAGATGGTTCTACTCTACGGTTAATGGGTCTCACGTCGTTAGTAACATATATACAGGATGTTTTATAAGGTTTGCTTCTTTCCTTTTAAGATCATTACTAACGAACCACCCAGTATAATTTTTTTGAAAATTGGTTTGTTATTTTCCCTTTCACTGCATAAACGACTTACGTATTAACAAAAAACTCATAATTTTATGTGTCCTTCAAACAACATTCTGAATCAGAATTTTCAAAATCCGTTTTGACATTTTAATCTTGAATTTACATTTTTTATTAAAACCGATTAATAACATTTCAAAAAGTTCATTTTTGTTATTGTTTTAAAAAAATAATTTACTGTGATCTGTTAAAACTGGTAGTACACACTTTAAAAATTTCAGTGCAGGTCCGGTTTTAGAACAAAATATTAAATTTTCCAAATATTTTAATAATATTTTAAATAAGTATTTACACGAACAAACAGAAATAATAATTTTTTTTTGGTATTATAACTACGTGAACAAATCACAAAATGTTATAAAAATTGCCTGAAATTACCCTCATTTTGTTTAATTTATTTTAGTGCTCGTTTTGTAATACTTCTTATTCCCTTTCTAATGACGTCTCGAATATTTCTTAATTTTTCTATCCTTCTATCTTCTATCCTTTCTATAAGTTCTTCCATACTATTTATTACTATAGAATAAACTTAAGACTTTAGTTATTCCTAAATAGCATAATCTAACAGATTAAAATCGGGTGACCTTGCCGGCCAGTTGTGAGGACCACCACTCCCCTTTTAAATATCTGGGAAATTCTCATTTAGAAAATTTTTTACACTTACTCTTAAATGGGGCGAATCTAAATTATTTAATATTGTATTTTACAAAATTTAACAGATTTAAACGAACAATTCCTACAATATTTTTTATTTCAAATATGGAACTGTTAAAATATCTTCAATACTATTCCATAAATACTTAAAAATAGATATAAAATTTAAATTTTACTCAAAAAACTGCTGACAAATATTTTTCTTACATTTTTTTAGACGTACCTATTCAAAATTATGATAATAGTTTTACTAATCAAAACGTTTATTTAATAATCGCAATTCAGGTCTTTCAAAAACTAAACTAGTGCAATCTGAATTTTAATATATACAAAACAATACCTACTTACATTTTGTAGTGTGATGACACTCTTCCTGCAGAAACACAACTGAAGAACACGCGAAGAAGTACCGTTCCTCGAAGAATCAGGTTTGCCAGAGTACCACAATGAATAACCAATAAAGGTAATAAAGATTTTATTACACTTTGATCGTGATAAGATTTCTAAAACCGTTGAAAAGTTTATTGCATTTTCGATTCACGACCAATTTTTGAATATTTATAAACAAATAAATAGGATTATGAGTAACCTAATGGTAAATAGTTTTAGAATTAATTGAAAAATTTGACCTAAAAATAAGTTTATTTTAAATCAATATTAAATGGTAACCAGTAATATTTAATTTCTAATTGTAGATAATATTTAATAGTGGTCAAACATTATTTATTAGAAAAAAAATTGTCAAAATAATTAGCATCTTCTTTATTCTAGGTCTAGATTAATCAATGCGAATTCACTAAACTTAACTGAAAACTGACGAAACCATTAATACTCTACTTGGAATATTTACTTAAATTCAAAACCAAAGTTAGCTGTAAAGTAAGTTGGAAGAGCGATGCACCACACTGTATTATATATAGAGTAATTAATTAATATTGCACGAACATTTAAGAGCGGAATCCTTAAGACTTAAATTCAGCCTTAAATATGCATTATTAATGAACCGCCCTAAATGTTGGTCTAAAATACAACTGACCTAAACCTAAATCAGTCGCTATTAGGAAAACAGTACCTATTATCATTTATTTAGGAATAAGTAGTTATAAGGAGGGTGGCATCGCAAATGGACGGAACAATTCGTCTTCTTTTTGAAAAAGCATAAAAAAATAATAATAATGTTTATTCATAACAAAATATATACAATAAGTAAAATACATACAATACATCAATAAACCTAAAAATATCCACTGAAGTATTATAAATACTTGTTTGTGGTAAAAAAAATTATGATTATTAAAAGAACATATTTAATACATATATCAGAAACAAATTAAAAAAAACTTTGATGAAATACATATTTTAAGTTATAATTTTTGTTTGTTTTTGAAAGAATAAACTAAGAGGGAGTTTTTATTTTTTATTATCTATTTTGTTTTTGTTCAATTCTCTATTATTTTATGAATATCTGTTCTGTCACTTTCTTTTATGAAGAATATAAGTTGCTTTTTATAGCTCTTATAAGAAGTTTGCTCTTTTATTTTCGATGGTAAGTAATTGAATAGTTTTGGACCTAAATATACATAGCTTTTTTGGCCTACAGATTTCAAAGTTATTGGTATACAGTGTAGGTGTCTTGTTCTTGTTGGATATTGATGGCTTAATCTGGTAAGTTCATTTCTTTTTTTGTACTGTTGACAACTTAGCTGGATACTATATAATTGATTTATATCTAATATTTATGATTCACTATAAAAAAAATTGCTTGAATGTCTTGCCGGTTTATTGAACATTATTAGAAAAAATCGTTTTTGAGAGACTTCAAGTGCACGAAGGTAAGTTCTTGATACACCTCCCCAACCAATAATGCCATAATGAAGATGTGATTCAAATAAACTATGAAATAGAACTTTTCTGTTTATATTCCAAAACTCCTACAAGTTGTTTAAATTTAAATAAAATACTACGTAGTTTTTTTGTTAATAATCTATGTGATAGTCCCATCTAAGATGATTGTCTATATATATCCCTAAGTATTTGATCTTTTTCGCTGGTTTTATTGAAAAGTTTTGTTAGATTTTAAGACGGTATTCCGGCAAAGATGTATCATAGCTACTAAAAGGTATGTATAGAGTTTTTTCAAAATTGATTGAAAGTAATCTACTATCAATCCAACCTGTGAGTTTATTAAGGTCCTTTTCAATGCTTAATAATTTAAGATTATACCAGTTGTTACTCGTATAATATATTATAGTGTTATCTGCAAAGCTTATAATTTTACCGATAGTATACTGTAGGAATAAATTATTTAAATAACTTACAAATAACAACGGCCCCAGTAATGTCTAAATACAATTCAAAAAAGAAATAACTACCGGGCGTATATCATGAAATTACAATGCTTTTTTTACAATAATATAACAGGAATATTGCATTAAAAATATTATGGCCTAACTCTGTATTGGAATAATATATCTTTCTCTACCTCAATGAGATAAACCCATAGAGACCAAATGGACTACATCGGCGACCAGAAAGCAGTAAAACAAGAAAGAGCAAAACGTACATGTAAAAAAGTAAACGTTCAAATCATCTAAATGTCAGTCATACTTATTTATATAAAAGGCTTGTTTTGGTTCTTTCACGTACCAGTTCAGAATCACTGAATTCCACTTATTCAGCTCAATAGGCTGTTTAAACCAAAACAAACCAATTGTCTTTAACAATACGCGTAAGACACATAACTAAATTGATGTCATCAGTTGGCTAAAAGTAACGTACTATCTTTAGTAGTAACACTGAAACAACGTCACTGACCTATGAGAGAACAGAAGGTTGCAAAAAAATCACTAAGAATGGCCCTATTCATTAAATTTCTTCTTTTACTAGGTAACGTGGAATACAGATATTGTTGGAAGCTTGTTATAATAATATGAAAAAGAATTACTATAAACTTTTTAATAAATATTTAAATCTAAACAAAAAAAAGTAATTAGACAATTAGTTATTAAATTAAATATGTCTGTCTATAGTGGCTATAGTTTACGAAGGCGTAGAAGGGCCACGTAATATATTTTTTTTTATTTTGACTTTAAATTCGAAATTCCAACTTTAATCTCGAAATTTCGACTTTAATCTCGAAATTTCAACTTTATTCTCGAAATTTCAACTTTAATCTCGAAATTTCGACTTTAATCTCGAAATTTCGACTTTAAACTCGAAATTTCGACTTTATTCTCGAAATTTCGACTTTATTCTCGAAATTTCGACTTTATTCTCGAAATTTCGACTTTAATCTTGAAATTTCGACTTAAATCTCGAAATTTCGACTTTAATCTCTAAGGGTAAGTTCGGTTTGGAACTCGACAGATCGGACAGAGCGCGCACGGAGTGCGTGACGTCATCGACAGAGTTCGCTCTATTTATAATCTCAAGACGAACACAACGGGAATGACAAATGACACTCTAGTGATAGTTTGCACTTGAATACACCTTTGTGTGTGGAATGGACTGTAAAAAATTAATTTTAGTCAAATAGGAAATAGTTATAACAAAAACAAACAAGTAATAATACGTATAAACTGATTAAATCATAGATTAGAATATTGACGTTTGACATTTTTGACACATTCCTACAGATACCTGTTTATCTCCACCAGCCAACTCTGGGAAGAGTGAGCGCGCTCTGAGTACGTGATCTGTGGCAAGCCGAACACAAAAGAGAACGCTGTGAGTGCCAAAACGATCACAATTGAGGCATATCGAGTGCACTCCGAGTACAGCGAACGCCAAACCGAACTCAGCCTAAATTTCGACTTATTTAGAGATTAAAGTCGAAATTTCGAGAATAAAGTCGAAATTTCGAGAAAAAAGTCGAAATTTCGAGAATAAAGTCGAAATTTCGAGTTTAAAGTCGAAATTTCGAGAAAAAAGTCGAAATATCGAGAATAAAGTCGAAATTTCGAGTTTAAAGTAGAAATTTCGAGATTAAAGTCGAAATTTCGAGATTAAAGTCGAAATTTCGAGAATAAAGTCGAAATTTCGAGATCAAAGTCGAAATTTCGAGATTAAAGTCGAAATTTCGAGTTTGAAGTTGGAATTTCGACTTTAAAGTCGAAATATTTTTTTTACTATGTGGCCCTTCTACGCCTTCGTAATAGTTAAATGCATTTGCGGTATTCCTTTATAGTTGTCTTATTGTTTGATACAACTGTAACTGCTGTGATGTTGTTTGTGAACTCTTGTTTTTTTTTGTAAGCCTGCACAAAGGATTACAGAGCTTAACATACTTATTTTCTTTTATTTTCCAATATTATAATTTTTCTGTTGTTTTATATTCTTGTTAATTTAATTTTGTATAAAAGGCTTCGGTTGTTGATTTGTATTTTCTAATTAAAATAAAATAATCCAGCAAATAATGAATCATTCGATGCTTCTAGAAGAAAATACGCTTTAACTTTTTTTAAATATATTTAAAAATTGTTTTTTTGTACAAATATAAAAAGGTAAACATTGAACCGTTATTTAAAACAATACTTATTTTTCTAATTTCTAGTAGTTAAAAATATGTCTTTAAGTGCAGTTTATTAAGTATTTAAACTTTTGGTTTTGGCCTTTCGTCTGGATGTGCAGTGAAAAATGTTTCCCAGTCTTCTGTGTTTTCGCAATTCCACCTTCTAATTTCCCTGCCGCCTCCATATCTGTAAAAAGTAAATATTTTTATTTGCATATAAACATTAAATATTACTGAAATGGATCAAAACAGGTTAGAGGGTTTTTTTAGTACTTCTTATATTATTAATAAACTTTGGTCAATACGGATTTGGTTCTATTTTAGCCAAAGAAAGAAAAGTGTGTAATGCTATCTCTCATATCTTATAAATGGAAAATGCTTAGAAATAATTACAATTTTATACTGGGTGTATCGTTACTACAACGCCAAATTTTGAATGGTGGTTGCGGGTTCATCAAAATATTACAAAAAAAAGTTTTTACTGAATATATTAAAAAGGTTTTAACCGATTTCAATAAAAATTTTATATTTTGTTAATATCTTAATTAGGTATTTGTTGGCCTTATTATTTAAATGTATCCAAAATTTTTATAGAAATGCCCACGAGGCAAGTCCATTACTTTTTACTGTAGATTTTTATATATTTTGTAAATCAACTAGAAATACAACTTTCTGTTTCTTAATTTTTTATTTTTTTGCTTCCTTTTAGTTTCGAGTTTTTTCTCTGGAACTGAGAACAATAAGCCAGCAGAAAACTTTTAGTTTATTATTTTAGATCATTTAGGTAGTATCGACTATGCAAATTTTATAGCATATACAAGAGTAGATGAGACCAATCTCATCTACTATCAAATTTTTGACTTAGTGTGTAGATAAGTTCTTGGGTCTAAAAAGTGATTAGTTAACAAGGTGTCCCAAAATTCCGTGTACCTCAACTTTTAGAAGACACTGCTCAATTTACGACGTGGCATGTTTTTTATGCACGATGGTGCACACCACCTCATTTTTCCCGCATTGTGAGAGATTATTTAAATAAACAAAACCTTGGAAGATGGATTGGCAGAGATCGAAATGCTCCTATTCAGTGGCCACCTCGATCACAAGACTGTAATCCTTGTGATTATTTTATTTGGGGTCACTTGAAAACCACAGTTTATGAAGTTGCTATCGACAACATTAAACAATTATGGAGTAGAATTCAAAATGTTGTGAACTCCATGCAAAATAATCTAGGCATTTTGAAAAGGGTACACTTCAATTTCTTGAACCAAATTGAAATCTTCATGAAGGAAGGAGGTAGCCATATTGACATTTATTGTAAAAAAATAATTATCCTTTTCTTTGAATTGTTATTTTTCTGTAGAAACCTATTATTAATGATGATTTTGTTTTATTGTAATAACGTTAAAATCGACAGTTTTCAGGTTGCAGTAGTTATAACCGCTAACTTCTTCTTCTTCTTCTTCTTCTTCTTCCTTTTTTTGGGCTATATCCTACAGGACAATTTACCCAGCTACCAAAACGGGAAAGTATCGTTGTCTTGATCTTGGCAATCGGATATCTTCAAGTAATATAAATAAAATATGTATTTGAAACTTCTTAACAGGATGCGTAATCCCATTAAGGTTAGATTCACTAATCGATGGCCATTCTTATTTAAGATTTTTACAGAAACACATACACACATAGCTCCCGATTCTGAGACCGCCATTTCAATCTTGACACCACGGTGTCAGAATCGGAAGTTAACCGCCAACTTAGTTTTCTTGAAAATTTTAAGTTGTAACCATCAGTCCATTAAAAATTTTTTACTCAAATACCATAAGAGATACTTGTTTTTTGTCTAAAGCAAAAATTGCTACATAAAAAAACAATGGAGGGAACAGGGGCGGCCCTCAACATAAATACGATGTCATTTATGGTAGGATTAGGGTGGTTTTTACCCTTCCATGATCTTAGTTCGTATATTTTTTTCTTTAGACGATGGCTCTTCAATAAAAATAGCTTCATACCAAATTTTATTAAAATCGAACAAAACGTTTTTGAGTTATTAAAAAAAAATATTTTTTTTTCCTTTAACCACTGGCAAACGAAAAACTTTGAGATATAGGCAATTTTGACTCCATCGACTTATTTTGATCTCACCAACATACAGTAGCTCTATGCACATGGAATTTTCGGGCACTCTATATTGTTTACGTAATCAGTCTCTTATGAAACGTACAGTAACGTTTAGTACTCATAGGTTCATATTTGGTGCCTGTGTTTCTTATAACCATCTCTCTGCAAGTGGTGACCATACTCGTAAATTAGTTTTACCCTATTTTGATCTAACAATGTCAATAGTCATCAGTTCTTAGATGTAGTCCCGAACAAACCTCAATGTCACTTAGTAGCTCGATATGGTTTTTAAGCTTGACTGTCTTGATTCTTAGTAACTCTTCCATTGCTTGTTTTTTAGTATTGCAAAATTTCATCATGGAGTATAAAAGTATGTTTGTTTTTTGCTTAGTTAAATGATTCTTTATTAGTTTTAAAAATAATAATGCCATAAAATTGAAGAAAATGTATAGTTGTAGGAAAAAAAAACTTACCTAGTACACCAGGTACCAGTTTCGTCAGTAAGTACACCAGTGTGGTCTGTACAAATGCAACGAGGTCGTTGTATAGTGTTACATAAGACTATTATCTTCTTGAATATACCGTGACATTTGTATCCAACATCAGGAGTACCTTTAGCCTCGAACCCGTCATTGCAATGGCAGTCTTTTATGTCGGTGATTTTTTCTGGGAATGTATCAAATGCAACTGTTAAGGTTACAAAGGCAAAAAGTAGAAGGATCTTCGTCATTCTGAAATTATAGAAACGAAATAGTAGTTTACGATACAAGACCGGAAAGTAGTGTTTTGCAGGTCGAGACAAGCTTGGAGAGGCCTACTTAATACTACTTATTCTTGGTCACGTGACGCACAATATTTTTTAAAGACCGACACTTCCATGTAAACTCTATTTTTTTTTTTTATTTAATAAAAATGCAATGAAATTGGACAAACCAAACAAATGTTTGGTGAATTGGTATTTTAAACATAAATGATAAATTTTAATAAAACTATATAAAATCAAATTAAAAAGTCAGGTAGCTCGACAGAGTTGCTATGCGAAAGGTTCGTGGTTTAAATCCAGGATTGAAGATTATTTATAAAATCTTTTTTTTTTTTAGAAAAACATTTTTAAAATTTGTAGATTTTCGTTGGTGAGTCGTAGAAAAAATATACTGTACAACTCTAGCTCATTGTCCGTATCGCACCCAGACAACATGGCTATCATATTCACTCGTATTGTACAAATTATTAATTTCTATACAATAACTTCATGTACTCATTGGTAGAATAGTTTCAGGATATATTGCGACACGTCAAGCATCCCCTCCAATTATTTTGCTCCATGCTCCCCACTCCGACGCTTTGTAGGTGAAGTTGTCGCAATATTTTCCAAAACTACTCTAATGAAAATATTTAAAAAGTATTTCTGTAATAATGTGAACTTGACCTAGTATTAAAAAAATATAAGTACCTACTAAAAAAAATCTAAAAATAAAACAGTAATAAGCACTGTTATAAATACTAATAGCTCTTTAAAAATGTTTTCTTTTATATTTTTATTTTTCTTGGATAAGTTTAAACTCAAAAGTAAAAAAGGATCTAGCAGTGTCCCTATGGCAAACGGAACACATGAAGAAGCTGCTGAATATTTGTGAATTCTGCCAATTTTTAAAAATACTTTAATACGTAAACATTGTTATTTTCCCAGACACATTGTGTAGTGCAAAGTTAAAAGTTTTTAAAAATTCCAATTGTGCCTATGCACTTGTTTTTATAAAGGTTAATATTAGTTCTTTATGTGATTTAATCAGAAAAAAAAAATAAAATTTAAACGATTCAACAACTTTTATTGAAACCGTTTCCGATGAAAGTAAAAATGTTCCTGGTGACATGGGTCTTAAGAATAATCAAAAATTAAATACAACTTTAGAAAATAATAAAGGGTTCAAAGCAATAATGGAAGTAAAGGAACGTTTTTGAGGGTAAATTCTCTTGTTTATTACTTTCCAAATTACATTATTGGTCCTATTACATCAATAGATGTAGAAAGGAACTTTTCTATATTTAAAAATATTTTTTACAGATACAAGACAACAATTTTATTATTTAATTGTACATGTCTAATATAATTCGTAGATAAAAGTTTTTTTATGTCACTATTATAATATAGTGATTATTGTACTCCCCCTCTCCTAAGCAAAAGGTTAAAATTTTCGAGTCAAAAAATTATTATTTTTTTTTTGAATATGGTGTCATCAGCATCGACTACTAAGGCCACTAGCCTCGTGTTCTGTGAAGGCTTTATTACTGCTTCCCAGTGCCACTTTAGGAAGAGCACTGTTAATTAGAAACCAACAGTAAATGGTCATTAAGTATTATTATTATTATTATTATTATTATTATTATTATTATTATTATTATTATTATTATTATTATTATTATTATTATTATTATTATTATTATTATTATTATTATTATTATTATTATTATTATTATTATTATTATTATTATTATTATTATTATTATTATTATTATTATTATTATTATTATTATTATTATTATTATTATTATTATTATTATTATTATTATTATTATTATTATTATTATTATTATTATTATTATTATTTATTATTATTATTATTATTATTATTATTATTATTATTATTATTATTATTATTATTATTATTATTATTATTATTATTATTATTATTATTATTATTATTATTATTATTATTATTATTATTATTATTATTATTAAAGAATAAGATATAAACATAGATATATAAATAACAAAGATATAACATAGGTAAAATTAGTATAAATACACATATTTGGTATATTTTTTGTAAAAGAAACAGATAAAGAAAATTTAAGAAAAAAAAAAAGAATAAGAAAAAAAATACGAAATTAATTTATAAACTATCAAACTCAATATTACTATCAAAACATAAATCCCAAGGTACTGTAAATTTGTGAAAAAATAATATATTAGTTAAGGTAAGTCTTGTCGTATAATGTTGTAATTTTAAGGTAATAAAGATGACTCGTTATACTAAAAGTAAAAATTATTGAAAATTAACTAAAGAGAAAAATTATTAAAAACAGATAAACAAAAGTTAAATGCACCTGTGAAATATTTTTTTCAAATAAATATTAATATAAACTAAACAACAACTAAGATTTCATGTTTTTTTTTTAACTTCGCGTCTTTTAAGTCTTTCAAGTCTTTTAAGAGAAATTAACTGTATGACACAGTCAGTCATACATTATATACACTTGCAAAGTGCATAGAAAGATAAGATACATACAATAAAACAACTCTTACCGTATTACCAAACATACTAAAAATTAATAAGAAATTTCATCACATTGTGCCAAAAAAAATTCAAAAGATATACACAAATGTGATTCCCATCAATTTTACAACTTGTGTTTTGCCACAAGCTAGATAAAGATAAGATACAAAACTAAATAATTAAAACATATGTGTGATCGAAAAGAAAAGAAATATATTTAGAGAAAATTAGATAAAGATATAGATATAATTCACAGAGACATTTAAAGGTATAGATAATTACGATAATTTTCAATTAGGTAGTGACAAAAAAAAACAGTTTCCACGTGCAGACGATAAAAACCATTAGTGACATGCAAAGTAATGTCAATTTCAGTATAAAAAATGAAGAAAATTCCCAGATAACTCTTGCTTGAACCTATTTATCGAACATTTATCGTTGACAACAGGTCTCCCAAAATTCAACATTTCCCTTAGATGACATTCAGAAAATAATAAAAAAAATATATTTTAACCCTATTTATTGCCACTATTGGTTCAGTATTACTAAATTAGGCAGTATTGAGATATTGTATAAGTAAAAGAAAATATATGTTAGATAATAAGGCTCAAAGTAATTTTTAGTTAAATTTAAATTTGGAAATCTTTGCATCTGATTACAAGATTATATACCAAACTGAATTTACGAAAAAAAGGGAATAATGTACCAATAAATTAAAATACCATTATTTTATAGCAACGAGATATGAAATATAATTCTCAATAGATAGTTTAGACAATTCAGAATAAATGTTTTAGTCCGATAGTCAAGATAATTTCAAAATCTGAAGGAATGATAGAATTTATTTTACTAAATACAAAATAAGTAAATACAATAACTAAATTATTGTATGAATATTAATTAGAAAAAAAAGTATTATAAATATATAAAGAAAAGTTAAAAAGAAAACTACTTTATGAATATAATTATATACAATAGGAAATGAAAACCAGTCTCAGTCTCCAATACGGGTACAAAATTATACTATCAAAGAGAAATTTAAAGAAAAAAATTACAATAAAATTAAGTTGGAATCTTTAAAAATTACTAAAAATTTACTATAAATATTTGCCATTACAAGGAGTTATTATCACCCACATATGTCTTTTTAAAACCTTCTTTAAGCAATTTTCATGTTTGTTTGTATTTTTGCATTAAATAAGTGCACATTTGAAATAAAAAAAATAAATTCATATATATGTACATGCGCAAAATTCTGCCGCGTCGATTGGACATAGGACATAGGAATTATATAATCTAAAAATTTTAATACACTTTTGTACTATTTGCTACACAAAATCTCTAAACTACATAAAAATAAAAAAAAATCTAATTTAGGTTTTTAACAGTTGCAAAAAATTGAATATTTTTGACTATACTAAAAGATCTGACAAATTTTTATTTTAACTTTGATTTATTTAGTTTGAGTTTTAAAATATTTTTTTTCTGATCATTCCACATTCTTATCTTTATTTATAATATAGTTTATTAGGTTTATTTTATTCCTAAAAACATTTTTGAATTTAATTTTTGACAATAAAGTTTTAACGGTACAATATTTATTACTGGCACATTACTTTGGTATATACATACATACTACATATTTATCTAAAAATAAATTTAGGTGCCCTAAAATGATATTTTCTTTTTTATGATTATTTATTTTTGAAACCTAAGTACACAAAGTATTATCAGACGTCTAAAACAAACAAAATTGTTGCCGCTATCTGTAGTTGTTGGCATATTTTTGGATTAATTATACATTTTACTATCAAACATTGTGCTTAACTAAGTTTATATCGACTTACTTGATAATCTTTCACTACACAAATGAGAATGCCCCGATTGGCGTGATCTAGTAAAAACCATTAATCCATTTTTTACGGCCTTTAAAAGATTATTGACGTGTTTATTAAAGATATAAAGATCTATCTTGATTGGTCAATAAATTTAATTAAACACCACATTTACATAGCCCTTACAATAATTATTGGTCTTGTAATTAATTTTAATATTTTATCATTTTTCTTTATGTCATATTCTATGAAAATGGGGTAAAACCAACAAAATATTTAGGTACATCAAAAAATTATACAATAAAATTTAATGATTGTGTTTTTCTAGAAAAAAAAAAGAATTGGAAATGTCTGCTTACTGATATCTATAAGGTCAGATGTGTTTAATGATAATTATTTGTTATTAATTAATTCTTACTATATTATTGTTATTACTTTACTCAGTATTATATAGGCTGTCCCGCGATGAAGAGACACTATATACATAAATCTGACAAACCATAGTAAACACGTTATGATATTTCCATCTCAAATATTTTGACAGCTCTGTTGTTTCCATTTATATCGGAAGTAGTTGTCCACTTTGTTATTTTAAATGGGACACCACTTTTTGTATTCTGAATTCCAATAAATCATGAAAGTTTAGGGTCACTTTGTATAATAAAGTGTAGGGGAGAGGTGGCATGAAAGGGACAAGTGTTAAAAGGAACAATTGCTAAAACTTAGAATCTGCTAACAATATAAACTTATGCTACTAATAGATAGGTGTATCTGGCTCGTTGTGTCAGTAAATGCTGTTCATAAGTTACTACCTGTTGTACGTTTATTAAAAACTGTATTCTGTGTTTAATGTTAGTTGTATTTGAGCATTAAATTTAGTGTGATTGCGTTGAGTTAAAGCAAATACCTTATGGATTTATGTATTATGTGCAATTTGACAAAAGGCTTGGTAAGTTTTGCAGACATTGAAGTATTGAAAGGAAAATACTAAATAAAGAGATGCTAAAAAATTAAAGAACTGACAAAAACAGGAATAGATTAGATGAAACTTTTTATAAAGAGACATCCTGAGCTGTCACTGCGCCGTCCAGAAAAAACAAACTTATCGCGGGCAACTGCTTTTAATTCAACGACAATAAAGACATTTTTCAGAAACAGAAGATTTTATAATGCTGACGAAACAGGCTTAACCACTGTAACTGAGATAACCTCCATTATCGCTGAAAGTAAAGCCAAGAAAGTATATCAGGTTACCTCAGCTTGTTACTATGTTGACATTTGTTTCTACTTCAGGTAACCGCGCACCTCCGGTTTTCATATTTCCTAGGGTTCAGCTCAAGGACTTTATGCTAGAAGATTGCCCTACCGGAAGTCTAGGTTTATGTCACAAAAGTGAATGGGATTACATCTGATAACTTTTATCTGGCATTCAAACATTTCCTGAAAAAATTACGTCCGTCTAAAGAAAACCCCGGTATTACCACTAATTGACAATCACGAGAGTCACATAAACATCCATGTCCGTAAAAATGGCGTCATAATACTACCATATCCGCCACACTGCAGTGATAGGCTGCAGCCCATAGACATCTCGGTATTATGCCCACTCAAAAATTGTTGATGGTATCAAACCCGGGTAAAACGATATACCAATATTACCCAACTCTGCTTTTACCAGTGCCTTTACGCCCACGTCTATTTATGCCGAAGGCTGATATTTATCTTTTTGATAAAAATATATTTGGGGAACAAGATTTTTTATAGAAGATTACGATGATCCAAACAAACAAATTAAACTAGAAGGGCTAAATCTAGAAGACATACCAGTCCTGTTCCATTGACTCACCTAATTTTATCGCCTGCTTCAAATTTACTCAAGATTAGTACTAGAATGTTACCAAGCTTTGGCCGAAGTATCCACCAACAATGTGGTCCCCTTAAGATGGATCAAAGGTCACGCCACATCGAAAGGAAACCGTCTTGCTGATTCACTAGCCAAGAAAGCAGCCAACCAAATACTTTTTGAACCTGGCCCTTCGATTGGCCTGACAACATCGGTAGTGACAGACCTAATTAAAGAACATTGCCTTGTGAAATTCAAGAAAAGATGGGATGAAACAAGAAACTGCAGAGTTGCCAGGGAGCTCTTAAATTATCCTGACAACACTGAAGCAAACAAATACTTGAATATGACTAGACAGAATCTGCGCCTAATCACAGGCATTCTGACTGATCATTGCCGCGCTTAGCAGAGGGTACGGATAAGAAGAAGATACCATCAAGCAGAACCTTTACAATTGCTCGACGCTCTCGTTTATTAAAAGATTTGTGTTTGGCGAGTATCGGCCGATACAAGAGAAGCACCTCTTGGCAACGTTGACAACTACATTAAATCTGTAGACTGGCTCAAGAACTAGGAGGTGCCTATCATCTTAGGAGGATGCACGATGGGCCTAATGAGGCCTAAGTGCCGTGGGGTATCCCACCCTCCACACGTTACAGATACAGATCGCCTGATTTCGGTAAACCATCTCCAAAGGCACGTTCTAGACAATTTCGTAGAAGAGGAAAACAAAAGGAGCTAGTCTCATTATCATTGCCACTCCAGAGAAAAATAAAACAGAGAAAGCCTGCGTATTAAAAAAATATAAACTACACAAAATCAACACGAATGTGAAAATAAAAGTAATTAAAAAAAGTGTTGCAAAGTAGTAGCAGTAAAAGTTGAAGCGAAGAGGATGTTGTCTATGCTAAGAGTGACAAATCTTTCGATTGTGAGGTCGAGAAAGAAGCGAAGCTCGCCAAGAATGATTCTTTTAACGTCGATTATTTTGTCGTCGTCAAATTTGTGAATAAGTAAAATAATTAGATATTTTATTGGGCAAAGTTATGGAAAATAGAGAAGTCAGTATTGAGTTTTTTAAAAAAAGTAATTCACAGTCCCTACCACTTTCTTTTTCCTGAGAACATGACGTGGCTGATATCGAAAAAGAGGATATAGAACTCAAACTACCCCCACCCCTTGGTATTGCCGAAACTGCAACAGTAAAAGCCATAACCCTACAAGCTCTAGGATATTGGAATGGTTTAACCTTTCCAAGATGGAATCATTATAATATATGCGCGCGTCCGGTACTCGTACTAGTTACTCGTCAGCTCTAGGAATAGAAAGTATTGAGTATTCTAAAATATAAAGTACTTCAGATTGTTTAAATATGAGTCCTATCAGGATGAAAGTACTTACGAGTACCAGTTACTGAGTACTTTGGTACTCGACTATAATTTTGAGTACATTTTACTCGAGTATTGCCCAGCTCTGGTTACATGTATCTGTAATGTGTGGAGGGTGGGTTACTACAGATTTAATGTAGTTGACCACGTCGCCAAGAGGTGCTTCTCTTATATCGGCCGGTGTTAGCCGATACTCGCCGAACACAAATCTTCTAATAAATGACAGCGTCGAGCAATCGTCAAGGATATGCTCGATGGTCTTATTTTCTTGTTCGCACTCTCTGAAGAGTGCGGATTATGATAGCCCCATGATATGGAGATGCTTTCGTAATTAGCAATGACCAGTCAGAATGCCTGTGACTAGGCGCAGATTCTGTCTAGTCATAGTCAAGTATTTGTTTGCTGCAGTGTTGTCAGGATAACTTACGAGCTCCCTGGCAACTCTGCAGTTTCTTGTTTCATCCTATCTTTCCTTGAATTTCTCAAGGGAATGTTCTTTGATTAGGTCTGTCACTACCGATTTTGTCAGGCCAATAGAAGGGCCAGGTCCAAAAAGTATTTGGTTGGCTGCTTTCTTGGCTAGTGAATCAGCAAGACGGTTACCTTTCGATGTGGCGTGACCTTTAATCCATCTTAAGGTGACCACGTTGTTGATGGATACTTTGACCAAAGCTTCGTGACATTCTAGTACTAATCCTAAATAAATTCATGGTCTGTTCAGGGTGAGTAGTGCTTGTCTGCTGTCTGTATAGATGAGCATGTTCCTTCCAGTGATATTGTTTCTGGTTATTTCTTTTGCTGCTACGAGAATCCCCGTTAGCTCTGTTTGAACTACACTGGCACTATTGCTCACAGTCCATTTTATGTTTAGGTTTAAGAATCTGGAGTATATTCCACATCCTGAGCCTTGTTTTGTTTTAGAACCATCGGTGTAGATATGAATCGTACCTGCCACTTCTGGCTCTTCTATTTGTTCTACTATAACTTTATATGGCTTATAAAAGATGTATTTTGGTGAAATGGAGTCCATGTTCCCTAGAAGCAGTGAAAGAGTATCCAGCGCCTCCTGCCAAAAGTGATGTCTTGCCTCACCATATCCTACATCAGGTTCTATTCCGACCGTGCGGAGCAACCTCCTTGATGTAAATATCAAGGGGAGTGAGACTAAAAATGACTTCCATGGCTCTAGTCGGTGTTGTTTTCATGGCTTCTGTTATGTTGAGACATGCTGTTCTTTGAATTTGTTCTAGTTTACGGATAGCAGTTAATTTTTGGGTTTTCGGTACCCAGACAACTGCACCGTATGTTAGCATAGGTCTTATGATAGTCGTGTAAATTCATGTGACGACTAGGGGAGAAACCCCAGGTGCGCCCCACGGTACGGCGGCATTGTTCGTAAGCAATGTATGCTCTTTTAACTCTATTTTCTAAATGCGAGTTTCATGTTAACTTGCTGTCAAAGGTGAGACCTAGGTATTTCACCTCTGCTGCAAAGTATAGTTTTGTGTTTAGGAGTTCTGGAGGTTTTAATTCCATTTTTAACCTTTTCCTTGTGAAAAGGACTATTTCTGTCTTCTTAGGATTGATGGACAGTGAATGTTCCTTGCACCACTGTCCTATAATTTTTAGAGCTACTTGCATTCTTTCGCAGAGTATGTTCTCAAAATTCTTTGTTTGCAGAATGACCAGGTCATCTGCATATGCTATTGTGTAGTGACTGTCATTATGTTATGTATTCACCCACTAACCATTTGTGGAGCTCTGGTTACATATAGGTTTAATTGGCAGATTGACAAAGAATAGCCCTATAGTTTAATCAACTCAGAGGAAAAGAAATCGGCTCGTAATTTTTTAATTAGGTTATGATGGAGATGGTATTAGTTAACTATTACAGCATATTAAAAGATATTTAATCATATGGGGTGAGAAAAAAACATATTTATATTTTGATTGAACAAATCATCAACAACTTCAATTTTTTAAGAATAAGTCTATAAAAGTAAACCTATTTCCATCCAAAAAGTAAATTATGTTAAACTATATCTGTAGTTTTAAAAACAAAAATACGATTGGCACCAGACTTGCGCAGGATTAGAAAACCGAGCAGTGAAAGTGTTAATCTTCTTTGTTTTTTATATGCAAAATTTCCTGAAAATCTCAATATTTCGTCCATAAGTAGAAAAATTAATATACGTATTAATAGCAAAATATTTTATTTTCAAATTTGAACACGCATATTTTAACTTTTATTATTAAAAATTGTTAATTAAACAATTCACTATCTGCCACAGGTTTTTCTTCAGGATAAAGTTTAAAAAATGCATCCCAGTCTTTTTTGTTCTCACAGTCCCATCTGATTTCTTCCGCAAACCCAGGTTTCACTTTAACGCACCAATACCCGTACAAATCTTGTACAATGAAACCTTGTCCTAATGTGCAAATGCACCGAGGTCGTTCTAAATTTGAGCAGGATCTTCTTCCTTCGTGCAGTATTCCTTGACAGAACAACTTCTTATCCTTGGGATGAAGTTGAACGGTGTAGCCTCGATGACAATTGCAAGGTAGTTGTTGGTTAATAACAGTAGCTGCTGATGTTATGGAGAAAAGCGTGGTAGTGATGAAAATAATTAATAACAGGTTGCTAAAAAACAAAACAAAAATTAACTTACGGAGTTAACTTTTCGGTAAGTGTGATTAAATGTTGAGTATTAATTACATTTCTCTTATATCAGATCATTAAACTGTAATGAATGACGATTACATGGTATATGAGATTAGAGGAAGAAGAATTTAGATACAAAGGATTTAACGAATTAAATATACAGATGTAAAGAAATATTCTAAAGTACATTTACAACGCTGTACTAAAGAAAGGTCTTATAAAAACATTGAAAATGTAATTTGGGACCGAATATTATTGGTTTTTGAGATAAAGGGTTTAATGTTTATCTTTATAATTTTGGTTTTCATTTTAAAAACAATATATGATAAAAGAATCTAGTGACACCACCACTAAAAGTGGTGACAATTCCACATTACGTAGTACTAGATTAAATTAATTCATTGTCTTATAGAATGCAGAGGAAACTGATGAAAAAAAAGTAGAAATCAGTCTAAATCAAAGAAGAAGAAACTCTAGTGAAACAATTTTGGAAAGAAGAAATTTTTATATAAAAAATATACAGGATTTTTGACACTTCCGCAAGCACAAGATTATCTAAAGTATTGTATTAACCTATAAGTTATTTAGCTAATAATAGAAAATGAATAATTTTAATATGTATAAATAAATGAGTACCACATTTTCCAATTTCACAGTTTTTATACCGCTGGATAAGAGTTTAAAAAATGTCTATATACGGGAACAGAAACCTAAGCGAACCTTTTAATTTCCAATGAATTGAACAGGGTATAATAGGACCACGCGTGAAGCAAAGACCGCTGAGCAGCCCATTACCTATTCTGTGACAAGGCGCACTAGCACTCCCTTACTTCAACTTACGCTCGTCTCTAATAGATTTGGCTAAAATGGTCTGCGTTAAAATTTTCGTACTCATATATTAGGTCGTTCAGATTCTTTTTGAAACCAACATAGCAACGAACCCATTTCACTAAATATAATATAAATTAAGAAATATGGAACTAGTTCCTTATTAAATGTAATAAAAACGTAAAATGAAATAGAAATAAACTTAAAACCAGTGTCGCATAAATGCAAGCGACCATTTTCCTTAGGAAAACAACTACTTCTTTCACTAATATCGTTACAGGCATTGAAGTAAATCCAACGAAAAACAAGAGATTTAAAATCATTTTCACCAGTTTGTCTTTGTTTTTGCTTACTAAGGAAAACGTCAATTTTGTAGTCGCTTTGTCCTTATTAGGATATAAACATATTTTTTATTTTAATATCTAATGAAATCAGCAATGGAATTCAATTCAAATATGACAAATATTTACTATCTCTGTTATTTTCCATTGGATTTTATTCAATGCCTGTTGCTGTTTAGTCAATAGAGTTGTTTTCATGAGGGAAATTAGGCTCTTCTTTATGTTACTATGGAGTTTTTTCTATTTCACTTTATTAATTACTAACATTTTAATAATTATTATTATTATTTTATCGAGAGTATGTGTTGTGGACATGCCATTTTTGCTATTTAAAGTAGCGTCTTTAAGTTGTCTTGTACATGAAAAATCTATCAACATAAATGTCGTTAGATTGGCACAAAATTATTCATTGTGACGTTATCTCTGTTATACATTTTTGCATAATTTCGGATATTAATTATGATTATGATGTGATAAGTTTAATGTGATTTGAGAAAGTCAAAATTGAACAATCTATGTTTGGTTCTGAAGAGAAGAGAAAAATAATGCTAATGAAGAAATTTAATTTAGATGGAAAAATATTTTTGAAGGCGTTAGACAGAGAAAAAAAAAAGAGATTGTCAGGTTTTTGGAAAGCAACCACATATTATGACCCATATCAAATGAGAATGTTGGCAAAGACAAAAAAAAAGTGAATATTGTCATACCAATTTAATGGTTCTTCGTAGAAACACGTTTCCACACGAAGAGTTTTGGAAAGATAAAATTGATTCTTAGGAAGACCTCCTGTTCATGCAAAATTCACCTGGTATACAGACAGCTCCAGAATCCATGAAGGTTCAGGAGTAGGTCTATATAGTGCCAAGCCAAAGACAATAATCTCACCGAGTTTAGTTAAAAATAAGACAGTATTCAAGGCTGAAATATCAGCAATACATAACTGCGCAAGAGAAATTATTCAGACAAGGTAAATGTAAAAACCAATGTCATATACTCTTCCAAATGTAACGAGCATTTTGATACTTGTTAGGATTTTTAGTTAGTATTTTTATATTTTCAAGTGCACCTTGTATAATGTTTAGTTTGGACTCGATGTAGAGAAAATCTTATATGTGATGGTGTCGCTGCGCAACGCATTTGTTTTGTAAATTCATCTCATTTTTTGAAAAGTTTTACTTTAATCAAAGTGAAGTTTCCGGAGTTTAATATTTAGCAATAGGTAAAGTAAACGCTTTTTCTTTATTGTTCTGAAGGTGAGACGTTGGCTAAATGCTGCATTAGAGCGTTGGTTATCGATTAAGGGTATATGTTGCAGGGATTTAGTGGGTAACTAATTTATATTCCACTAATTTAGGTCTATATCGTTGGCTAGGGGGTGGATATTAATAATTTAAGTTGAACAAAGAAAGTTTTCAGCAATTTTAAGGGTTTTTGAGATGTGACCATTTTACGTCTTAAATTAAGCAACGGAGTCTGACTTTTATTGCCTCGTAATTTAATATAGTTTTTTCAGTGAGCGGAGATTCATTGATTTGTATAAATTTGCCGTTATATTATATGCATTATATAGCTTCTTTCTATCTTAGTTTTCTCATCTTTTCTTTTCACTTTCTTAGTACTTTTTTTATTAATTAATTTAGGCATAGTTACTGATAAATAAAGCTATAAAACTTAAAGCTGGTTAATTAATAAATAAAGGTATCCTACTATACTTCTCAACTATCCTATTTACTTTAAAGTTTTTCATAATTCTTATTTGGTGCATGAGATTTAGGTTGTCAATTTATTGTTGAGATCTACTATATCAGTGGATATTTTTTTGCAATCCTTTAGACAGTTAGTTTAATGTAATTTAAGATTCTGGCAACCGCAGGTTGTTTTTTTGTGGAAATCATTTTTATTTCAACTAATTTTAAGTGCCATATTAAATCTCATATAGCGATTTATAATAAAGGGGATTTTCCATGTGGAATTATCCATGTTTAATTAATTCACAGATCATTAATATTTAATTAATTGCTATTATTTCACTATTTCATATTCAAGTAACTCATTTTTCAGTCAGTAATATTTAATTAATCTCTTTTCAAATTTATTTGTAATACTACTTGGTTTTTAAAATAATCTGGGATGTGATTATTGAAGGGTAATTTACCTTATGTGAAGGGGGTTTATTTTTGCCAATGAATATTAGCTATTTCCAAGTAATTTTATAATTTTGGTGTTTAACCCTAATAATTAAGCTTAACTTTAGCATCAGCGCTATAGAAATTTAAGTTTTAGTTAATTTTCTAAGTAAGTTAACCTTTTAATAAATTAATTTGTTTTAATATTGTTTCTTCGACATAGGTGGATGTAATTATTGCATTATTGCAGACTAAAAGGTCTAGGACCTAATTGTTGGTATATTTTTAGGGAATAATATCATTCCTTATTTATTAGTAATCTTTTTGCAATTTAGGTAACCTCAGGAGTAGTAAAAAGCGCCTTTTAACAATCATTTTTTGTGTAGCCAAAATAAGTAGCTCACACACACACCTGTCTTTTATTTTCATGCACTGGAGTATTACCAATGATGAATTAGGCCAACAGATCAGAAAAGTCCGAGTGATGATCTAGTTCCTCAGCCCCAGAACGTCAGTAAATCCGCAACTTAGAGCATCTGGAGACCTTATAATGACAAGGCTCTTTTCCTTATGGAAATCGAACTCGATACCACCTCATTCAAACTCCTGAACAGGCTAGATTACTTGACCATCCCCACAGTTTGGTCATTCGGTAACCTTAACAGAAACTGAGCGGAACTTTCTTGTAGATATCATTTGTACAGGTTACTTAAATTGCATATAACTCTTTCTTATTTATCATAATTTATTTGCTCACTATCTTTCAATAGTTAATCCTATATATTAAACCTTCAATTTAACTTTTACCTTTATTTCAAATTTAAATATTTTGTTTCTTTTCTCTTAGAACCTTATCTGTTTTTATTTTCCTGATATTAGTTTAAATTTGAACTTATCATACCGTATCTTGACAGTTGTCACAGTTTAGTTCTGTTTCTTTTTTCCTGTTTTGCTTGTTTTTTTTTTAGGTGGCGCCTTGTTCAAATTCAGTTTCCTCATAATAAGTTTCAAATCAAGCAACAGAATTAAACCCTAAATATAACCAATTTTTCCATTTTCCTTTACGGATAATTGTAAAATTCTGGTTTATTAATTTTTCAGCTTAATCACTATAAATTTTTCTTGCCAAACCAAATAAATCCAAATAATTTTCTAGGTACTATAATTTAATACAATATGTGTTAAATTGGTCAAGTACGCACAAGGTCATTTCCTTGACATGCCTCGTGTCAGGTAAAGGCTTGCATTGGTATCCAAGGTGCCTTTTTTATTGTTATTTAACGAAAATGCTACGTTAAAACACTTGGTTTTATGCAGGTATACTCAAAGCTTATGTGGAAGTCCTAACAGACTAACCTTATCCTGGGTACCAGGCTACTGAGGACATAAGAACAATGAAGAGACTGATTTACTAGCCCGAGAAGCCTCAAAGGCTCTTATTGGCCTAGAACCCTTCTATAGTGTCATAACATGCACAAAGTAGTAATTGTTAAAAATATTTACGAAATGATTAAACAATTTATCAGGACACAGACAGACCAAATAGTTATTAGAAGGATTATCACCAAAACTCACCAAGCATCTTCTAAGCCATAATAGGAAAAATACTAGAGTACTAATAGGCCTATTAACAGGACATTATAGATAACAACCTTGTACCGATTTTTTCAGGAAGAAGAAGAAGAAACTGCAGTGCATGTATTCTACCAAGACTGGGATTTATTAGACTTGGAAAAGCATAACCAAAAGCAACTAGTTACGCCTGAGAACTACTTCCTGATCTATGAAGTCTGCTGGAAATGACCAAACTAGACAAGATGCTCTAAACAACGAGTAAAGGACATCAACAATAAATCTGAATAGTTCGAGGTGTGGGAGGCTACATGGCCCTCAGTCCTAAAGAAATTTAAACTTATTCCATAAAAACTATCGAAAAATTTAAAAGAAAATAGATGTTATTTTAATTTTATTATGAATTGGCAATCACATGAATACGAGGGTGGATAAAAAAGTACCCGTGTTAGAAAGGAAGAGGCAAGTTTTTAAAAAAAAATTATTTTTAATTCTCAACGTAATCTCCTTCTAGTGCTATACACTTTTCCCAACGTTTCTTCCATTTAATTAACCCCTCCAAAAAATATGATTTCTCGAACTATGCAAAATATGCTTCAGTCTCGACGATAACCTCCTCGTTAGAGCTGAATTTTTTCCCCCAAACCACGTTTTCATGTTGGGAAATAGAAAAAATTCACATGGAGCCAAGTCGGGCGAGTACGGTGGGTGCAATTCGTACTGCAGTTCTTGCAATTTGACCGCGACAATTCTCTATGAATGTGCTGGTGCGTTATCCTGGCGGAACTTTTTGCTTAGCCAAATAAGGCCGTGTCTCCTTCAATTTTGCATCGAATCGGTCCAATAATTCATTATAGTACTGTCCTGTGATCGTACTCCCTTTCTGCAAAAAGTCGATGAGGGTTATTCCCTAGGAATCTCAAAAAATCGTGGCCATGATCTTTCCGGCCGATGGGACCGTCTTTGCTTTCTTCGGAGCAGATTCATCCCGAAAAATCCATTGCTTCGACTGTTGTTTGGTCTCTGGCGTATAATAATGTATCCAGGTTTCATCAACGGTGACGACTCGACGCAAAAACTCCTGCGAATTTCGATTAAAGAGCTCCAAACACTGCTTCGACATTGACAGCCGTATTCGCTTGTTGTCCATCATAAGCAATCGCGGCATCCATCGGGCCGATACCTTTTTCATGTTTAACTTATCATGCAAAATATTAATTGCCGTTCCGTATGATATGCCTACGGCCTCTGCTACTTCTCGCACTTTCGTTCGGCGATCTGCGACAATCATGTCTTGGACCTTTTTAACGATTTCCTCGGTAACAACGTCTGCCGGGCGACCTGGTCGCTCCTCATAAAAAACAGATGTACGACCACTTTTATATTCGTTGAACTAACATCTTACGGTTGTCATAGATGGCGAAGGGTCCCCATAGACAGCTTCCAACTTTGCCATTATTTCATCGCATGTTTTTCCATCTAAGAATAAAAAGCGAATTACGGATCGATATTGTTCTTTTTCCATTTTATCGATTAATGCGAAACACGTATGGTACAAGTGGCTGGAAATAAAAACCAACCTATGAACCAGTTTAAAATTTAGTATGGTGTCGTGTGACAGATGACAGTACACGACCGTAATGCCAACTTCCCTCAGCAACCCCACCTGCCTTCAGACACGGGTACTTATTGATCCACTCTCGTATATACATATAATATGCTTAAATGCATACTTTCTTTAGAAATATATTTATGAACATTCCAAAACTATATAATTTAGGTAAACAAAATGCATTTTAAAAAACTTGTATTAAAAAATAAAACTCTACTGTTACGGTAATTGTCACTGGAAATAAAATTAATTCATCACCAATTTAGCAAACCTCTTCTTCTATTTGGTGGCGTTATCTCCTAGCCCAAACAGGTACATATCTTTTGATTGATCGACATTTGAAATATATGTGATGAGAATATTTTAAATAAATAAGGAAATCAAAAGCGACGTGATATCGTTATATTTTTTTGAAGGGGTGTTTAAGAATAAAAAGAACTTTGATAGTGTCAGGATGACTACACAGTCTCATAGTGGCATTATTACTATTCAATGTGAGCGCTAATTAACCTTGTATCCATAGTTACCATGACAACACTTTTGTTTTTAATAGGGACAATTAATATATTTGCTTTTTATTCTTTAATTCTAAATTTGATTATAAGTTTATAGGGTACCTATCTGATAATTTGAAGAAGGTATATATTACTCACTATATAATAACTCAATATGACTATTAAATAATCTAGACAATATAAAACAGCTATAATCTATTTTCTTACCATATGTTCATTATATAAAAATTTTGCACAGCACCATAATACGTTTACATATTCACAAGTTTTATAATAATATGCGCAAATAGATGTTCATCACTCTGGAACAACAAACACTAGCAAAAATATGTTTAATCTGCAACGTGATGTTCTACTTTTAAGCTAAGCACAAACTAAATTATTATTTATAATGTTGAAATAATTTTATAGTGTAGTTAGTCGTGTTTGATGAAATACCTTCGATATTTATGCAAGAGAGTTTCAAGATCAAATAAAAATTTATATTGTTTATAAACGAGCATGGGAAATAGGATAAGTCATTGATAGTTATTGAGTAATTTTAAATTATTTCAAATGGTTTCCCTTTGCAAATTAGTTAATAAGTCATTATGTATCGTTAAAAATTGGTGTCTTTGATAAATTTAATAAATAAAACTTACCTTAAACGAATCATTTTGAAATAATAACTTTAATGACACAAATAATTTAATATAAAAAATATTTAGGACTGAGATTAATTATAATTCATAAATAATTAATAAATTTTAAGACATCGATTTGTTTTGAAAATAATGTGATAATTTATTGCGTAGTATACGCTTGATTATTATGGAACGTTAAAATTATACTAAGTGCATTTTTTGGTATTTTGATAAAACCAGTGTTATAGTAGAAGTAACATAATTATGTTCTTGGAAAACTATCGACCTTGAAATTTAAACATTTATGTTTAACAAAATCTTATGAAGACCAACTAAATTGGTTAGCTTTGAAATTGAAAAATTCAATGTCGATCACTTTATAATACCGTTTTTGATATCCGGGTTATCAGTTATGGTACCTAGTTTGATTTGTTATAAAAAAAATAAGAAGTTAGTAAAAAATTAGGAAACTGTGTGAAAGCAGTTAGGAACAGATACTATACCCTCTAGAATTTAATCATATTTTTACTCGTTTAACAGAGCATAATGAAAAAAGGCCTCTGATATATTCTTAAATATTTGGATACTATTCCTGATTATTTCTCTCGCTTGTCAACTTTAACATTTTAACCAGACACATCTTAATTATTTTAAAAAGTTATTTTATTGTGTATTTATTTAAGTTACATCTAGGGCTCTACAAATAATCTCAATAAATATAACTCGAGCTTAATAAATTAACGCCCATTTCTATTGTTACTTAATTTTTCGTGCATTGTGCAATTTGTTTCGACATAATTTTGTCATTAATAATCAAAGATTAGAGTCCTCGAGCTGAAGCTCTCGAACTCTGTTCAGATTATTACTGACAAAATTATGTCTCGAAAAATTGATATCAAAAAGACTCAAAATTTGGATACATATATCAAGGTCTCGTTTTATCACCACTGATTATATTTATTTATCAAATAAATAACGGGTTGTTCAAAAAATTATTTTATACAGTGGTGTTCCATAAAGTTGGATACATATATAAATATCCCATATTAAAGTTGGCTAGGGTACTTTGTTATCGATTAAATTCAGTAATTTTTCAAAAATGATTCATTTTTTAAATGCCAATTTAACAGATATCTAATGCCAGTTAGAGTTAAATCACTTCAAGTGGACCCCCATTTTCCACTTGATCATCGAATTCAGGTATCAGTATTTTTTCATAAAGTATTCACTGTAAACAATTAATCCCCAAAACAGTTTTTAATAATTTTCATTTTAACAACAATTTTTGTATTATTGAAATTTTTTTTAAATTTTATTTAAAAAATCGATAATTAAAAAACTATTATAGATATTTTAATGAAACTTTTAGGATTTTTAGGTAAATGCTCGTATTTTGATAAAATGTGCAAGAGTCTAAATTATTTATTTATTTTCATATTGTTAATTAACTTTTAAGTTAACAAATGAAAATTTTAATGACTTCTCCCTCAAAAAACGAAATTTTTATTTTTCGGTATTATGCATTAAACATTCAAGTAACATAATCTGCAAAAAAATTTGACTGCTCGCGATTCGATTAAACAAAAAAAAATTATTAATGACGGGCGCTGAGCACTGTCGGTACAGCGCGCTACTACGCGTCATTGACTTACCTTTAGATCGACTCAGTAATTATAAATAAGAAACAATTCTTTATTCTGTAATAAAAATAATGTTATTTAATTAATGATTTTATTGAAACAAATTACAAAAATTTAATGAATAAAATATTTTTTTATAGAAAAATAAACACAAATATTAAAAATTTATCAGTGTTCTATTATTGTATTTTTCGGATTGTTTTTAAAGAATTCCACCATTTATAATTATTTTAGGTCTTAAACAATATTGTCAATTATTGAAAATAAATGTAAACTTTACTTGTTACCCAGCTTTAATCCCTTTTTAGATTAAAAAAAAAAAATTGCGTTCAGTTATTTTCATTTGTTATTTTTATATATATACACATAATAATTCCCAATAAAATCTTTAAAAGCATGAGCGCTTTTTTTTTCAATTAAAACAAGTGAACTCAAATGGCTTGTGATATTCTTTTGTTATTCATGTGTATTCATATATAAAAATATCAAATGAAGAAAATAACTGAACGTAATTTTTTTTTTAATCTAAAAATGGATTAAAGCTGGGTAAATAAAGTTTACATTAATGTTCAATAATTGACAATATTGTTTAAGACCTAAAATAATTATAAATAGTGGAATTCCTAAAAAACAATCCGAAAAATACAATAACAGAACACTGATAAATTTTTAATATTTTTGTTTGTTTTTCTATAAAAAATTATTTTATTCATTAAATTTTTGTAATTTGTTTCATTAAAATCATTTATTAAATAACATTATTTTTATTAAAAAAAAATAAAGAATTGTTTCTTATTTATAATTACTGAGTCGATCTAAAGGTAAGTCAATGACGCGTGGTAGCGCGCTGTACCGACAGGGCTCGGCGCCCGCCATTAATAATTTTTTTTTTGTTTAATCTTATCGCAAGCCGTCAAATTTTTTTGCGGATTCTGTTACTTGAATATTTAATGTATATTACCGAAAAAAAAAATTTCGTTTTTTGAGGGAGAAGTCATTAAAATTTTCATTTGTTAACTTAAAAGTTAATTAACAATATGAAAATAAATAAATAATTTAAACTCTCGCACATTTTATTAAAATACAAGTATTGACCTATAAATCCTGAAAGTTTCATTAGAATATCTCTAATTGTTTTTTAATTATCAATTTTTTAACTAAAAGTCATAAAAAATTTCATTAATACAAAAATTGTTGTTAAAATGAAAATTATTAAAAACTGTTTTGGGGATTAATTGTTTATAGGGAATACTTTAAGAAAAAATACTGATACCTGAATTCGATGATCAAGTGGAAAATGGGGGGTCCACTTGACGTGATTTAACTCAGTAACCAACTTTTATATGGTCTATTTTAAGTATTTTTTTTTTTTTTTTTCAATAAGCAGAATTGATTACCTTACGAAGTTTTTTCAAATCATAATATTAAAAAAAGTTTTATAGACAACAGTACCCCGAAGAATACAATCAAAAGTAAAAATAGTGTGTAGATTCAGTTTATGAAATTTTGCGTTCATGTAATATCTTAAAAGATTGGGCTTGGAACATGAAAAAAGAAGACGGAAGCGACTACAAAGAGTATTCTTTAAAGTTTATGTGGAATTCAACTGCTAAGACGTTACAAAAAATATATCTTAAAACATTTAATATAAAGATAGATGTATTTCAAGGTATTGCATTTAAAAGTGCTCGCGATGCACGAAATACAAAAAGACGGGAATTGCAGAAATTTTCAGAGAAAATGAAACAAAGTTCTACAGCTCTAAGTTTAAAACATATATACGATATTATTGACAAATTGAATGAACAAACTCCAGACGGTCTCCAAAAGATGTTCTATTATTTGGCTTAAATTAGCTTGGCGCGGTGGGGAAGGCGCAACATATTTAACAGAATATTTTAAATTTGAAACCTCTGAAGATGGTAAAGAAACAGTCAGGTTAGAATAAAATCCTATTTTTACGAAAATTTGCGAAGGAGGAGACAAAAAATGTGCAAATAGTAAGGGGTTGATTTAAAATACTCAAAATCAGTTAGATCATTCAAAAAATTGATTGGAAAACGAGGTCCACAATTCACATGTTCAGGTTTATTTCTAACTCCAAATCCATTTTGGCAAAATATTAACTCTTTCTGGTACAAAAATTCACCTATTGGAAAGAATGGGTTTTCTAAATGGACCAAATTGGGTGCGGAGTCTATTGGATTAGACACCAAGCGTTTAAAGATTACTAACCATTCTTGTCGCTCGACAGCAGTCTCTCAACTTGCAAAATCAGGTGTACCGGAGCAACAATTAATTAAAATAACTGGGCATTCTAATTTATCATCTATTCAACCATACTTACAGATGGATAACCAGCATCATCAAAGTGTTATTAACTAACTTCCAGGACATACAGAAAGTCAAGCTTTCACTTCTGTGAACACTGATGTTAATCCGGTAGAAGAAAGTCAAGTTTCTACTGCAACCATGAATACCGCTACTTCCTCAAAAGCAGGACGAATGTCCCAAATTATGCAAACTGGAAATATCACTTACAATAGTTGTTCTTTAAACTTTAACTAATTTTTTCTAATTTATAAGATAAAAGTTATTTTCATGTGCATTTATTTTTCTTTAGTTACAACTAGGGCTCTAGAAATAATCTTACTAAATATATCACGACCTTAATAAATTAGCGCCTATTTTTATTGTTACTAAATTTTTCGTGTATTTTGCAATTTGTCTCGACAATTTTGTCATTAATAATCAAAGAATAAAGTCCTCGAGGTAAAGCTCTCGGACTCTATTCAGATTATTATTTTTTTTTATTTGGTGTCATCAGCATCAACTGCTACGGTTATTAGCCTCGTGTTCTGTGTAGGCTTTGTTACTGTTTCCCAGCGCCACTTTAGGAGCAGCACTGTTAATTAGAACCCACCAGTGAATGGTCGAGTGGGGAATCCTACCAAGGCATCAGAATTAATTTTAAATAATTAAATTAAATAAAAAAATCCCGGCCAACGGTGGGATTCAAACATGGGATCCTTGGATCCACAGGCAGAGACTCTACCACTGAACCACCCACCCCGTTATTCAGATTAATAATGACAAAATTATGTCTCGACAAATTGGCACCAAAAACACTCAAAATTTAGATACAATAAAAATAGTCGACTATTTATCAAGGTCTCGTTATATTATCCTTAAATATATACATCTGTTATTTAATTTTTACTTTATTTATTTTTTTGTTTGTTTCAGATATTGCTGGGTATGTAAATTTTTAGAACAAGCCTTATACGTCTACACTAAAATGAAAATAGATGGGTAAGACAAAAATAGAGCTTAAGAATATTAAAATTAGACTACGGTCGGAAAATAAAGGAACGCATAATGTAATGACATTGTTATATTTTATATAAATTAAACTTATAAATTTTTTGTCTTAAGGCCGCACAGGTTTGGTAAATTAAGTCAGTTCTTCTTATTTGTCTAATTTTATGTTGAATTTTTTTAGGAAGCAACCCACAATGGCTCTAGGCCGCACAGGTTAGGTAAATTAAGGATAAGTAAAGTTTTCTATTTTTTTCTTAATAAATTCTAATTTAGAACTGAATGGCCCGGCTTAGCAGGTTCACTTATTGTGTATCGATATCTGCAGTCAAGCAGATAAAAATCGGCGTACGTCAGAACATACTAGATGCATACCACAAAGGGCAGACGTTATATCAATGAGAACGAGGTATAGCGTTAAGTGTACCATCTTTTCGAAGGAGATATAAAGCCGTCGGCCTCGAGTTCATGGATGTTGAGTTCGTTAAAGATCCCTAACTCTGGTTGGAATACCAGGGAATTCGGCTAAATTTCTTTTCTGGTAATTGGGGGTAGAGTGCTAACCAGGGTCGTTGTTTAAACCTCTTACTTATAAAAAGTAGTGATGCTGCGAGACAAGACGAGACGAGAGAGTGGCCTCTCTCGTCTCGTAAGACGAGAGAAAACTGTTCTATCGTCTCGACGAGAAGGCGCTTCTCTCGCTCGAGAGAGCCTTTCTCTCGTCTTGTCTCGTCTCGTTTCTCTCGTGATAAAACAATATTAAATTTAAATTTGAAAAAGACAACATGAAAAAAACGGTAAAATTTGTAAGACAAAAACAAAGAATTTTTCAAGTAATTTGCGCATTAGTACCCAAATTTTACAATAAGAAACACTTATCTCTGTCTGTTCGTCTGTCACAGTCGTTTTACAATTGAAATTTGAAGTAATAAGTGGCCCAGCTTAGGCGTTCACTAAATACGAAAATACTTTGTCTTGTAAGTCAGTTGGGGAGGGGGAAGAGGATAAATTAGATGTTATAATTTTTCTAACGCAATCCTGCTATGTCAAATGAAAGATTTTGTAGTATGTTTTCAAAATACAAGAAGATAGAGACAAAACAAAAACGATTTGAAATTAGAGAAACATATGGATATTTTTGTTATAATGAGAGGAACTTTACTTGAGACGTAAAATAGAGGACCTCACTATCTTTAAATTTTCTAATGGAAAGTAAAGTTATGTAATACCTCATTTAAAAAATATTTTGATTATATTTACGTCCAAGCAAACATTTTTAATTTTTTTGTTTTGTTTTTACAATTACATTCTTGATAATCCTCGTGTGGCGCAATAATTCTAGAAATGTTAGATACTGATAGAAGAGAATGTTTTAATAAGCTTTTTTTTTCCAAGAAGTTATGAAAAATTTAATACGATAAGTGGTTTTTAAATCACCTCTGATAATCTTAATTTATTTTTTTTAGTAAATACAAGAAGCGGTTCCTTAGTAATAAACAATAATTGTTAATACGAGAGTTATCAAGAATGTAACTTATTAGTAAAGGCCCAGAACATGTGTGTATAAGAACAAAGTACCAGCTACAAAAAATTGCCATTTCTGCAGTGTTAAATCCCTGTAACAGTAAAAAATTACTTAAATATATAAAAGATACTGACATTTACTCTGTACTAGCCAAAATGTTAACTATCCATTGTATAGTATTGTAAAAAATAGCATTTATAAGGTATTATACCTCCGGTAATGATCCTTTGAGGTTGAAGCGGTAAATAAAAATATAGAAAATATATATTTCAAATGAGGTATCACATGACCCTACTTTCCATTAGAAAATTTAAAGCAAGTAACTCCCTCTAACGTGTCTCAAGTGAAGTGCATCTCATTATAACAAAAATATAATATATCTTAAGTTTTACCTCGTTTTTGTTTTGTCATTACCTTTTTTCATTTAGAAGTTAAAATAGAGGGGGTAAAATTTATAAAAAACCTAATAACACAAGTATCATTTTTTTGTTATTATTTGATATACATAGAATAGGTGTATTATAGTTAACTTTTTGACTATCTCGAAATCTAATATGTTAAAATTTTAAGTTACGATAAGCAATTGAAAACTTCAAATAAGCAAAGAGAAAATTGTTAGAGAGAGCTCGAGAGAAACGAGAAATTCTCGTCGAGAGATGACACTCTCTCGTCTCGAATCTGTTTTTCAGGGGGGGGGGTAGTTAATTTTATCAAAGAATCATTCTTTTATTTAAAAAATAACAAAAAATAAGATATTTTAAACAAAATCAAAAACCTCTTATAAAACATAAAAATCACTCGTAAAAATCACAAATAGGTTTATCTTGATAACTTAATCGTAAAATCCATTTTCCATTTTCTTTGGTATGCGTTAGCAAATCTGTCTATAATTTTTTCGACGTCAGATCAAAATCTTGATGGATATGCAAAAGAGCTAATCCATTTAATCTTTATTGTCCCATTCGTGACCGTAGCCAAGTTTTTAAACGACGCAATGTGGAAAATCTTCTTTCTGCGGTAGCAACACTTACTGGCATAGTATATAAAACTTTCAAAATTAATTTAATAGTCAGATGTATATCATGATTGCATTTAAAATGAAAAGAGCCATAATAGCTCTATCAAAATCTTTATTTCTGACAAAATGGTTAAACTCTGATTGCCATAATTCAATTTCTACTTTTAACTTCTGTACAGCTGTAACATAGTCAGTATCTTCGAGAAAACATCCCATTGACTTAATGAGAGACTCCGCAATAATTTTTAAATCATGTGATGTCTTGCCAATCAAATTAACGGGAAAAATGGTATTATAATCAAACACGTTTAAAATATCTTTGCTGAATCTATCATTAATGTCTTCGATAATATTATCTAATAATGGAATATAAATAGATATTTTAAAATATTCTTCAGGGTTATTATTTTTTATGTTTGCCCTCAAGGTTTGCCTACTAGCTTGCCATAAAACTGTTAGGTGTATATCTAGTTCTTCACATAAGTTTGACATTTCTTTAAAGATTTCTTTGTAGACATTTTCATCGCATCGATGTTTATTTAATAATTTTAAAATGCTTTGAATTAAATTATATGCAGTTACTTTATCCAAATTTTCTGTTTGAAGCATTCTGCTTAATGGCAATGTTATTGTTAATATATCTGAAAGATAAAATATAGAAAATATGAAGCGTTAATGTATTTTTAAAGCTTGAGTTCTATCATTCCATTGTGAAATTAGTTTAAGCGCCTGCAATATATCTTTTAAATTATATTTAAATTTCAGAATACTCTCGTGTCTTTCTACCCAACGTGTTTCGCAAAGACTACTCAGGTTTTCTTTTTTGTATAATCTTTAATAATTTACTTCTTTTAGAAGAAGCATTAAAAAACTCAATAACTTCTTTCATAAATGAAACTGTGTTGCGTATATCTTGTATATTTGAAGATATCGATAAAGATAAATTTAAAGCATGGTTATAACAGGGACAACGCGTAGCATTAGAAAATACTGACTGAAGTTCCTTTACTGCCCCTTTCTTTTCTGAAACCATAACACAACAACCGTCAGTTCTGATACCAATACAATATTTTTAGATTACAATTTAATAAATTCCTGGATCTCTTCGAGCAGCTCAGGGGGAGGGGGTAATTACCTTATTACTCCCCCTTGTATCCGCGCCTGCGATCAACAAAAAAATATCCCAAGCATTACTTTTTATGACTTTCGAAACCATAATTGATCATGCATTTTAAATTTGCGTTAACTAAATAGTAACTACGAGTAAAAATCCTAGATTAACTTTGATGGCGAAACTGTACATGAGATTTATTATATATTATACAGGATATGTTTCAAATGCGTTTAATATATTACGTTTTAAGCTTTTAGAATAAAAAAAATACCTGAAAGTATGTGATACGTAACGAGCATTCACATAATATAAACCCGGGGTTATAGCAACCCCATTCGCTAACAAACACACTTCTTTTAAATATCACTCCAAATATCATTCATCTATAGAGCGAGAATTGTTTGCACCAGTGGCTACGAAAGAGTATATTAGGGAAAGCTACCCTACGATCTGCATTTCCACGTTTTACAACTTTCGCGATCCTCTCAATAAACTCCAATAAAATCAAAGACGCGTAAATGCGAGGGCGTAAAAATGTAGTTCACAATGTGAGGATGTATAATAAATTTTATAGACGTGATATAAAACCTTCCGAAACTTTTATCTCTTCTCGTTGCACTGACAGGTTTTATTTTTGCTCTGAAATTGCCGGTTTGTTTTAATTTTGCTATAAAAGTTCAATACACTATAGATAATTAGTGTAAATTAGACACGCACATGCCAGTCACAGATTGGAAATGGTGTGTAAGATTATTTTTTATAATAAATCAAGTGAGCGGTTTTGAATTTACAAAACCATTTCCTGGAAATATTGAAATAAATTTATCTACATTTCATTCTGTATTTTTTCAATGGGAATTTAAAAACTCAAAAAATAATGACAAATAAAACCATAAATAAAATAATATTTAATCGACCACAGCAAAGTTAAAGGACTAACAATACAAAATAAAATATAATGCAAGAGAAAATTCCATTAATTTATTTAGACCAACACAATGTAAAGTAAATAATAGTAAATAGTAAATAATAGTGATTTGTACAACAAGAGTACGACGGCGTAGGCGTTAGATACGGATAATCAACTCGAGTTGTACAGTATTTATTTCTACGACCCACTAACGAAAATCTACAAATTTTAAAAATTATTTTATTTAATTAAAATTAACTAACTAATTTAAAAATTGCTTATAACTTATACTAATTTATAAAATTAAATAAACCTAAAAAATAATTTAATTAGACTTCAATACTAGATTTGAACCCGGAACCTCTTGCATGACAGCCAAATTCCATAGTCTCAGCTCCATTGCCACACCTAAGATTTTAGTTTTAATATTCGTAATTAAATTTATTTCATATAGTTTTAATAAAACTTGTGATTTATTTGTACATATTGTTATGCATCACCCTGCAGTATCCTGCGACTATTATAGGAAACGTACAGATGGAAAAAGAATTGGAATGTCGCCCTACAGTGTGCTACGGTCGTCATAAGTAAAAGTACAAGTAAAAGAAAATAGAATAGTCCGGAAATGGCATTACCCGTCAATAATATTCTAGACGACAGTTCGAGAAGGTTCGAGAAGGGTCAAGCAAGCTGTATAAGGATGATCCTGACGTCAGTTTGGAGTTGTATGATAGACGTTACATGTTAATGTTATCATTTGTATAATTGTTGTTAAAGTTGAGTTGAAATAAATTGCGATACCAAAAACGTGTGTAACAATATTGTCATGGAAATTCCTAAGCCATCTCTGTCTAAGCAAGCGACCTTTAGCTTGTCACTCGATGCATGATCGAAGCACCGCTGACGTGTGAAAACAGTCTTACCGCGTCTCGAATATATCAGAACAGGCGATGCGTGTCGTTGAGTTAGAGATCGAATGTTCGAGAGCATCTAGAGACTGCTCGTAGCAGAGTTGGAGACTTATCGGCGGACAGTCAGTTTATTATAAAGTATTGGACTGAAAAGTTAAATTGTAATAAATAAATTATAATTGTAAGTTAGTGTCTAAGTATTATATAAATTAATTAGTACGACACAAATAAATTGTAAATAGTGTGTTTTAAAGAAATAAACTATAAATAAATTAGACTATCGTTACATTGGTGTCAGAAGTGGGATCGAAGTTAAAATTGAAATGAGCTGTAAACTCTGCTCGTCTCCCAATTTTCGACGGAAAGATGTCATAAGCAAACTACCTTAAACAGTTCGAGACAGGTGCGAGAGCAAACGAATGGTCTGAGAGAGGAAAGGCAGTGAATATGACAATCGCCCTTCGAGGAGACGCTTTAGATGTTCTTCAGACTATACGCGTTGAAGAAACAGATGATTTTGAACAACTCAAAAAGAGACTGAACATGCGATATGGCCACGAATACTTGAAGCATTTATACCAGTCACAGTTAAAGAATAACCGTCAGTTGAACAATGTTACCAAGAAAGACAGTTACCCTCTGCCTTATATCGACGATACCTTGGACACACTGGCCGGAAGTAAACTATTCTCTACCTTGGACTTGAAGTCTGGATACTGGCAGGTGGAAATAGATCCAGTAGACAAAGAAAAGACAACCTTTACCACCGGATCTGGATTATGGCAATTTAATGTTATTTCATTTGGATTATGTAATGCCCCACCGAAGAAGCAAGAGAATTCTGCTGGGACGAAGACTGTCAAACTGCCTTCGAAACTTTAAAGAAGCATTTAACAACAGCGCCAATATTAGGCTACCCACTACCAGAGGGAGACTTTATCCTGGATACTGATTCCAGTAATGCGGGAATTGGAGGAGTGCTTTCACAGATTTAAGGGGGAAAAGAAAGAGTACTGGGTTATTTTAGTAAACTGCTCTCAAAACCTGAGCGAAATTACTTCGTCGCGAGAAGAGAATTCCTGGTAGTTGTGAAATGCGTGGAACACTTCTATCAATACATATATAGAAGGAAATTTTTAATTCGTATCGATCATGTCGCCCTTAAGTGGTTGATACAGTTCAAAAACCCCGAGGGTCAAATCGCCGATTCTCTTTCTAGAAGCCCGTGTCCAGCAGAGTCCTCCCACTGCAACAAAGCGAAATCTAAAGAAAGTGGACCACTAAGAACAACTGTAGTCAACGATGAGTGGGCCCCTGCTAAAATTAGAGAAAACCAAGATAACGATATCGTTTTAAAGAAGATGCGACAATGGAAAGAGGAAAATCGTCGACCTACTTAGCAAGAAGTATCTAATCTCTCTCCAGTACTGAAATCATATTTGGCTCAGTGGAACTCTTTTATACTGAAAGATGGCTTATTAAAGCGAGTACTTGAAAATGATTATGGTTCCGAGAACAGAAGACAGTTGGTTATTCCAAGGAGTAGAGTATCCGAAGTATTTCGTCAGTTACACGATAGTCCATCAGAAGGACATCTCGGTGTTAGGAAAACCCTTTAGATAGTTTGGGAAAGGTTTTACTGGATGAACAGTTCCGATGATGTAAAGGACTGGTGTAAGAAATGTACCACCTGTGCTATGAGTAATTTACCGCAATGAAAAAGGAAGGCTCAAATGAAGCAATACAATGTTGGTAGCCCATTTATGAGGATCGCCTTAGATATAGTGCATTTAAAATAACGGTAAAATGTCGAGAAACGCCGCACTTGACGAGACCACTTATCCCCTACGTATTTTGGGGCGCTGATTACGAAAATGAGGGTTAAAACTGGCAGCAATGGTTGGAAAATCCCTAAAATTACAAAAATTTTCGACTGTACTTGTTGTTTTGCAAACTAAGCCATCATCAAAACTTGCAGCAATGGTTGAACCACCCCTAAAATTGCAAAAAAACACACTTAAATAGGTGTGTTTTTCTACTGTACTTGTTTTGCAAGCTAACTCATCTCATATGTTTTTTGGGTCGCTGATTTCGAAAATCTGGGTGTCGAGACTGGAAAATTTGTGTGACACCCCCCACATGCCAGAAACACCCCTCCCAATAGGTGAATTTTCGGAAAAAATGACCAGTCACGGTGTTGCAGTGCACATTGCAACCCGATTTTCGTTTTCTTTTTTATAGATGGGTGAGAAATCTATATAATTATGTATATCATTGGATGTCTCATAAATGTCTTAGGTCCGACGAATGACATTTCGACTAACAAAAAGCTAAAAAAAAATAATTATTATTATTCTCAATCTTTTTTATTAATTTACATTTTTTAAATGTTATTGAAATATTTTAAATTCAGTGTTACTAAATATCGATATATTGACATTGGATACACTTATTTGAGGTACAACTTTACAAGTTATTATCACTATACCATTTAAATCTTTTTGCTCAAAATGTATATACAATATACATATGTCCAGATTTTAATAATTTTTCAATTTTATATCATTTTGACCATGTAAACGATTGTTTCTTACGGGCCGGTACCTATATTTAACTATATTTCATATTTTAAAAAATACTCTTTATTATTTACTTCCAATATTTACCCCATTTAATTCTAAAATTAAACAGTAGAGAGGGCTAACT